CCCCCCCATATAACCTTATTTCTACATCTACATAGATGTTAGTTCCAAATTATAAAGGTATTTTTGCAGATCTGTTAAAAGATGCAACAAACAGGTCTAGAACATTACAAAATTTCAGAATTCTTAGTTTTTATTAACTTTCTTAGGGATATTCTTAAGTACAGACTAATGTTGAGAAGGCTCCTAGTTCTAGTAACTGGTCCTCCTTGTAGTACAAATGATTTACATTTTAAAATGTCACAAAGGGTTGTCCCGCGCTTAACTCCACCTAAAAAATTGCCCATGAAGGCTGTACAATCCCACCCTAATGCTCATTAAGTTCAAAAAAAAGAAAATTAAAATATTTCACAAGAAAAGGCACATATAAAATCTGTAAAGTTGTAAATATTTTTGTAGTTACTGATTTATCCAACTCTTTTCTTCATACTGGAATGAATCGACCTAAAATCATGCACATACAGTAATTTACATTTCATTTTGGACACACTTTCTTTTAAATCCATTACTCCACAGAAATATCGAATTGACCTGTAGTAAAGGATACAATGGTTTCACCATACAAATAGTAAAATACATACTTTTATTAGCAAAAATTGGAAAATGTTTTAACAATGTATGATGCCTTAAGTATTAAGTTAGTTTTTTTCAGCTGTTTCTTCCAATATTCACAAATATTCTGATTACATCCTTTTGTCGATTTCATACTACCTTCTGAAAGTACTACTTTCAGAACTGACATATTTCTGGGAAAAATATCCAGAATGATTTTCTAAACTTATTTTCAAATTGTAGTTTATTAAACAATTGAAAGCTGGATTTTCAACTCATTTCAACATATTTTGAGATTTTATTTAGGATGCACTAAACAGTAATGTCTTGGTTTTCATAATTGCTTCCCAAAAACGCCATCCTGTTGGATGCACAGGAATCTTACACGTGAGTGAACACTAGTCCTGAAAGATAATCAATTTAGTCAAAGTGAGTAAACTGGGGGAATATCTGACAGGAATGTGCAGACATAAGGAATTCATATTAAACATTACACTTTATGTTGGAACAATTTAGCAGGCAAACAAAGCATTTAACATGGACTGCAAAAGGCATGCAATGGCACAAGAGCCTACAAATCAGATTCCATTTGACCCCTTTCTTTCCAAAAGTGGGGAAAACATTTTACCACAAAGGCAAGCTCCTTTTTAAAAAGGCCAAAAGGTAAAGAAACAAATCAATTAAAAAATAACTCTCTTCATAAAATGACCTATTTATGAAAAACAATTGCTGCAACAGTTACATTTACACATAAAATCTAGACAAATGTTTTCTAAATTCTAATTTAAAATATACTGGGAAAAAAACATAAATAAAGCTCTTAAAACTGGCAAAAAGTACAGTACTGGTCCATAATTTCATTTTCCTCATTGAGTCTCCCCAGAAAATGTGGATGTTGAGCCTGGTCATTTATTTTCCAATCTGCACAAAAAACAAACAATTATTTTAAATAATAATCTTATATTGCACAACACAAGCATCACAAGTGACAACATTCAAAACTACCAGTGCATTTCTGAGGAAAATAATTTTTAAGCATTAAGAGAAAAAAGTATAACAAAAACTGTCACTTCCGTGTATCGGTCTCAGATAGGGGATGCATATCAAAGGCTGCAATTGTGCAAAACTTTTTTGCAAGGCTAATTTACATTTCTTTACATTAGAAAACCTTTCTGTCCTACTAGTCCAGTCGATGTACAGACTACTCAAAGAGGTTTTAAAGTTTATGGGAAAAACCCGTGCCTTTGTTTTGGACACGATGTCACCGATATAAGACATTCAAATGTATATTCTACCTGTCAGTTCATTTTTGAGAAATCAGTTAGTTAATTCACTAGTGCTTACGTGGTTCTGTATAAGTATTATACAGTTGCAATAAAGCACAAGTGTCAGCTCCAACTGGAAATGAGGCATTTTTCACAATTGTCCAGGCTGAATATGGACATGTTTTTACCTGCTCTAAATCTCTAATATCTGATGCGATGGAATGGCAAAATAATCCGTCTGCAATGTCTTCTTGCAAGACATGAACAATATCCTGTCATGAAGTGCAGTCTTCAAATGAAAATGCACTGAACTGGATATTTCTTGCCTGTAGTGCACACTCCTCTGAGTATGTATACTTCATTATGGTTATCCTGGAATACTAGAGAATGTGATCTCCATTTGACAAAGTACTTCTAGCTGCCATTAGAACATATTCCCAAATGAGAGGAAGCCCTTTGGTCCATCTTATGTGTTTGCATTGTATTATTTCATTATTATGAAAGCACTAGTACTATCTACAATAAGGGTCTTTTTACTGTGAACTACACAAATTGAAAAGAATTTGTGATAGAAACGTGTGATATGAATGACAATAAAATAGCTAATACTTTAGGAAAGTGGACAAGCCAAAATCCATTTCTTCCTAATTTCATTAATCCATTAACAAACTTGCTTAGTCCTGGTAAGGATCACAGCAAACCATAGCTTAGAAGCATGACTAGCACACAGGCACAATTTAGTCACTAAGTTAACCAGCATGTCTTTTAAAAAGAGGGGAGAAATCTGGAGACCCCCCAGTGAATAGGCACTCAAACTTGGGGAGAATATAAAATCTCCACGCAAGAGTAAACTACAGTAATTAAACCAGATCCAGCATCCAAAAACTGAGGTAGCAATGCCAACTGACATGTCACTATGTCTTTGGAACCTTCCAATAAAACAATTAAAAATTACTCCTTTTATTTTCTGATGCTTTATCATAAAATGACTTTTGATAAATACACCCATCAAAATTAAAGGTATCTGTGGGTCTTACAAGTCAAAGGTTAATTAGTATACTGATACAAGTTGGTTTCAGATTTTAATAACAGGAGAATTGTTAAAAAGGCTACATGACCATAAAAATCACCATGAAAAAGATTACATTTGATTTAATTACATAAAATTAACCATAAACGATTTGTCATAGTACTCATTTTTGCATAAGGCAGTAAACAAATCTAATTTGTAGCTTGAAATATATGCCTAAAGGACCATACCTTTTAATTAGAATAGCCCGTAAATAAGTAAACAAGTTTTATATGTATTTTTGGAAAATTCCCAGTCTTCAGTATAGCATAAGATGGAAACAACCTGGTCTGTCACAATGAGCATCAGCTATTTTTGAAACTTCTACTTCTATGTCAGACAGCTTTGCTCTGAATCACTGTTCTGAGTGCCATGTGAGACACTTCTAAACAAAATCACCGTGACCTTTAACACACAGCTCTGAGATTGGAAATATTTGGAAAACGGCACTAGAATTCTTGGCCAGGATTGACAATGGAAACAAGGCATGTGATGATAACGCTACAAATTCCCATAGTTTAAATTATTATAACTACACTCACTGGAGTTTCTTCTTACCAAGTAAAATAGAAAGGTTTTTGAAATGCCTTACCAAGGTTTGCCAAGTTTAAAATAAGCCGCAGTCCTTCAGGTTGTTCTTGATGATGACGTCGGTAACGGCATCAAACACAAACTGCACATTCTTGGTGTCTGTGGCACAGGTGAAATGAGTGTAGATCTCCTTGGTGTCTTTCCTCTTGTTCAAATCTTCAAACTGGCACTGAATATAAGCGGCAGCTTCTTCATAGGTGTTTGATCCTTATGACAATGGACAGAGATAAAAAAATTAGAAGACATCATTTTAAACTAAATCTTAAAATGACCCTCGCATAGAAACAATTCTCCATCATTTGACTGTTATGTAATCACTGCACAGAATGTGGTTTATTTTCTATCCTGAAGAAGTAAGTGCATTAGTGCTGGGAGCTGCTTCAGTGTATAAGTTACAAAGGAATAAGTAGAGGTTAATTCCACACTGAAAATAAAAGGTAAAACACGTTTCCACAAATAAAATTTTAATTCATCAAGGTCACTGAGTACAGAAATATTCCAAAGAAACGGTAAAATAGGTGCCCTTCAGCTAACAGAATTCACCATTATTTTGTTAAAATGCATAATTATGGTAAAAAACAATTTTATATAACGTTATGTTACAGGGTTTATAATATTTATATTCCAATTCAAGAAAATACTACTGGGTGTGGTAAATTACAGCAATTATTAATAAAGTAATTGCCTTTCCAGAATTATTATTCTGTGTGCATGACTAATGTAGGCATGTCCCTCATTTTTACCTTTTCAATTTACCTCGTTTTTATTATAGCATTCACATACAGAAGCATCATTTTATGTTAACTTCAATACATTCTGTGAGTATTTCTTCAGGCAGATCAGGACTTAAGCAAGCCATGTTAAACTAACAGGAATTTCTCAGACTGGTAGCAAATGTACTTCCTAAATAGAACCAAGTTGTGCCAGGTGGATTTTCTCTTGTGACAAACTGCCTAGAGAAGTGTTATAAATCGGAATTTGACATTTCCTTAAACAGTAATTTTCCAGGTGGGGAAATATGTATAGTTTACACAAATTTGTCCATTTATATCACAAGATCTAGGAAAATCTTAAAATTAATTCCAACATCATAGGAAAATATTTTTATATAGTGTCAAGAATACTGGAACTCTGTGGAACCTTACACCTCAGAAACTGTTTGTTACAGGGTTAGTTTGTGGGCTGCTGGTTAAAATGTTTAGCCACGTGGGGTTTCATGAAGAATACAATAGTATAAACTGGCAAAGAAGGGAGCTGAACTTAAAAACACTTTAAAAAGATCTAAATGAGCCCAAATTCTTAAATCAAGTTATATAACATTGATTAATCTAAACACTTTATAGTAATATACATTAGCCTCTCCAGATTTTAATAATCACATTTCAAAATACTATTACTTTACCTGCATATTCAGGGTAGCAAATTGTAAGAGGGCTCTTTTTAATCTTTTCCTCAAACAGATCCTTCTTGTTAAGGAAAAGAATAATAGATGTGTCTGTGAACCACTTGTTGTTGCAGATACTGTCAAACAATTTCATGCTTTCATGCATCCGGTTCTGAAAAACAAATTCAAACATCATAATTACTAACAAAAATACAACCATTACAAAACAATTATTAACACCATAATAATGGAGTTCATTTCAATGTTCCTCTTTAGAAATGCAATTATGAGTACAAATTCTAAATCATGTGAACCCTATTATGGTTACTTTTCAAATAAGGAACAAGTAAAGGTTTATTCCATGCTGAAAAGAGAAGAAAGGAAACAACGTTTCAGCTGTGGAGTCTTCTTCGGGTGTCTCTTTCAGCATGGAACAAACCTTTACTTGTTCCTTTGCAGCCTACGCATGCTGAAGCAGCTACCTACTTGAACATTTTTCAAATAGTCCATGCATGCATGTGGAGATCCTTACTGGTATTTTAAAATAAGGCTTTATTGAAATAGAAAGATTTCTAAAATAATACCTTAGCTGTATAGAGTTAAAAAATACTAAACCCGACTCAAACTCCCTACATCCAGCAAAGCCATCTCAATTCTAATCTCATACAAGACCAGAAAAACAAAAGGCTTGGTTAAGGAGCCAAGATACTAGCATTATATTGCATTTCACTACAAAGTCTGAAAGGTAAAAGTTCATATCAGATATATCACATTGTGCACAAAAAACATGGGGGCAATTTATTAAATAATTAAAATGTTATTTTCTTCCCTCTATGAAAGAAGGAGACATTTGAATAGGCTTCATATCTTAGCCTTTTTAATGAAAAAAGTTCAAATTAGGTGAAGTATGGTATGAAATGATTTTGCTTACCATTTCTTCATCTTCAGCCAAAACAAGGTCATAGTCACTCAGTGCCACACAGAATATGATTGCTGTGACACCCTCAAAGCAGTGAATCCACTTCTTTCTCTCAGATCTTTGACCACCAACATCAAACATTCTAAAAGGGAATACTCAGATTAGATTCTAAGTGCATTATTATATAGAAATCTAAGAACTTGAGATCCACAATCTGCATGCTTTTTTATATTTAGTCTTTCAAACATTATACATATATACTTCATCTGCCAGTATTGTTTTTAAAGTTTTGCACACCACAGTACATGAAGTCTTAAAACTCATTACATGTTTGTAGTATGAGTTGAGAACAAAGAGACAGTCATTTATTATGCTTACAACATTGTCGTGCAGACTGTGCTGTTCTGAACTGTCTTATATATATATCTATATTATGCTGTTTTGTGACATTGTACAGTGCTAACATTCTGTAATAGTATTCTATTTTGAAGAAATTCTTTTGCACTAAAAAAAGCATGTTTAAAATGTATTTTTTAATTTCCTATTTCTATGGGCACATAGGTAATCTTAGCCTGCTATATGATTCTGGCTTTACTTCCACAAATAGTGTTTAATTTTTAAAATAAAGAATGGCAGAGACCCACAGTCATCTGTATGTATAGTTAAATTTCAAATAGTCACAATGGTTTCCAAAAACAGTGTTCCTTGCAGTTTTAATGTTGACCTAAAAAAATATTCAAAAAGGCTGTTCTGCGGTGATCACAGAAGTCTGGTAGATGTTTTAAGAAACACAAGACCAAACAGTTTACTGAGTTTAAAAAAAAAAAACAGTTTCTTTCTTTTCACATTTCATTCCAGAATTTCAGCCTAGAAAGAACCTGTGCACTTACTTGAAATGTAAGTCCTTGAAAGTGAAATGTGTCTCTACAATTCCAGTTGTTTTGACTCTGGTTCTGAGGACATCCTGCTGTGTGGGGATATAGGTCGTCTGTGCTATCCTATCCAGGTCATTCAGGTAGCTGTTAGACACAGAACAAAAGAAAAGTCATTTCTTCACATAAGACAAAAATGTAGGACAGTTTATCCATTGAAATAATGGTAAAGTAAACCATCAATGCAACTTTACATGAAATTATCATTACTAAGATTAAATTTTAAAATATAAAAAAACAGAAAAAGTAAAGAATATAGGAATTAATTGAATGACTTAAAACCAATTAACATTATTTATTTATCATGTATCTTGTAGTTTTAAAGATGGCAACCAATAAATGGTTCTTAGAATTTACTGATATAGCTAAAGTTACAAAAATATATTAAATTGTTTTGAATTTATGACACTTATTTGTAGAGTAGAGCCTCTACAAGATAAACATCTGGTTTGCATCCACAAGTTCTGATTAAGGGTATTAGGGGTAAATAAAGACAAGCAAGTTGTAGCTATGCCATTAGCCAGGGACTAGGATTCTTTACAGTAGCAGATTGAGTGTCACCAGGGTTGGCCAAGCTTGATTTGACAGGTGTGTCCTCAATCGGGGAAAGCCACAGTATATGGACTGAGCAATGTCAATTCTCATGTAAGGACTGTGGAATTCACATTCCATTAAATAAATGCAGAGAGGCTCTAATGGGCTAGTATCGAGGAGAAAGTATAACGTCCTCATTCCTCCTCGGGACGATGAGAAGGGGTAAAGAGGATGGATTGGAGTGCATATTCAACCCATTTCTACCCTTATTCTACCATATTTGGCTCAAAACATATCCAGCACAAAATAGAGCAAGATGCATATCTTTAACAGATTACAAACTGCAACATAAAACAAACAGCAAATAAGGTTATCACCTCTATACAATAATAAAGAGTATAAAGAAATTCCATATTATCTTAATCTCCCATCAGATTTCTTTCCCAGCATAATCTTAGGTTCACACCACACCAAAGCAATAATTTTGTATAAGGTCCTTTATTAGTGTCTTGTCAATCAACTTTAAATTTTAGAAGGTGCATGACATCAAATGTTTGTCCTTCATACTTACTATTCAACAAGGATAATGTAATAGAAACTCCACCTGAAAAAGTAAATTAATTTGGTGGTGGTGGAGGGGAGTCCCCATTACCTGTAAAGCGCTTTGAGTGGAGTGTCCAGAAAAGCGCTATATAAGTGTAAGCAATTATTATTATTATTATTTCCCATGTGGTCAGCAGGGAAATTACAGTGTGGGGACACACAATGGGAATGTTGTGACGTTCCAACTCTTATCACCCAGTGGGCACAATGAACATCATTTGTACACTTATAACTGTAGGATATTAAAGCAAGTTCCACTTTTGTAAAAATTTCACAAGGGTGCGATTTCCTTTAGCAAACCACCAGCCGAGACTGTTTTGAGGCCAAACTCATGTTGCACAAGATGACAAACTTATAATACTACCATTTAGTGATAGCTCAGGGAAAATCCGTTGTTGGATAGTATAATGCCAGTAGAGTACTGGCATGCTAGTAGAGCACCACAGTTTGAAAACTGTAAATGCACTGGCTCATTTAAAAACCAAAAGACTAACATCTCTATTGCCTTTTGTTTTTTACCATATTGCATATAGAGAACTCTTCTTGCAGGTCTTCCAGTGTACTCAGTATAATGTGCAAGGGTTATAAGACTATATTAACAGATCAGTTAAAGTTTTTTTCTATCACTATGTCAATTAGAAATAGGATGTTCTACTATGGACAATACTGTTTACAGCAAAGAGCAGACTAGACAGTGTCAGATGTTCTGTTTGTTCTTACCAATGTCTAATGGAACATAAAACATGTCAAAAGTCCAGTTCTTGTTAAATTTGTTTATGGCACTGGTGTCCATGAAGTCAAAACAGCATCCTATAAAACACCATCCTATTTCACTAATGTCAACATTTATGAATAACTAATACTGTTGTTTTCAGTTCAGACTGTCTATAGCAATGAATAACATTTCAAGGTTGTATTAATGAAAAGCTGACCAATGCAATTAGAAATGGATGGTAATATTGGATTACTTTGTACTTTATGTAGTCTACATAAGCTTTTACTGCCTATGTTTTGTCTAGCATACAATTCATTAAAAAAAACATGAAATGAATTCAAGTAAATGGCCACTTACTATGCAGCAGAGTCATTGAGCTGGTATTCTCTTGACCTGCTGAAACAGGCCTGGACACCCCCATCCTTCCATAACCTCTTGATGACTCCTGCAAGTTCTGCAGTCATGAACCCCTCCTCCGCAGAACCCGCTAGCACAAACAGCTGACGTGCATCATCCTAGTGAGGAAGGCATCAAGCAGTGAAATACTCAAGCTTAGAAGCCTTGCTACAAATACAAATCAAGATTCAAAACCAAGCCTCCCCACTGAATCAGTTGTGTTTCTTATGATGCTGAGTGTACTTATCACTCATAACTACAACAATAATGATAAAATCCTTAAATACTTGACTTAAATGGGATACCACATTCATTACTTACAGGTGCAAGAAAAAGTTTGTGAATCCTTTGAAATTACCTGGATTTCTGCATTAATTACTCATAAAAATGTGGTCTGATCTTCGAGTCACAATAATAGACAAACACAATCTGCTTAAACAA